CCAAAATCGTCTTAAGGAAAATAGAGTCGAACTCTAGCCTCAATCTACTGTTTCTGCAATTTTGTTTAGCGTTTATTCGGTTTGCCATTTTCTTCTCTTTGTTTTTATTTTTGTTATATAAGTCGCATGCTATATAATGTTTCTAACAGCTACTTCTGCTGCTCGAACATACTACTATCTGTACGACTTTTGATTCTCTAATTGTCTCTTAAGATATGAGTCAAAGTTAATCGAAATTTCCATCCATCTCTTTGTTTTGTTTCTTATTTCTGGTTTCTTTTAGTTGCAGTCAACTTGATTATAAATTTTATGACAATACTTGTCCCAACTTGCTTAAGATTGTCAGATATGGTGTTTGGTCTGCTATAGCTAATGAAAGTAGAATGGCTGCCTCTATTCTATGCCTACATTTCCATGACTGTTTTGCTAATGTAATCCTACCTTGTATACTTCCACATGAATAATTTAATAAACGTGTTCAAGGAGTCGTGTTATAATTCCATAATTATACTTTTCGTTTAATAAATTTCTCTACTTTCGGTTATATAGGGCTGCGACGGATCTGTCTTGCTTGATGATACCAGTACATTCGCAGGGGAGAAGAACAAGAACCCTAATAAGGATTCGGCTGGAGGATTTGATGTTATTGATGCAATAAAGGCAAATGTTGAGAAAGCTTGCCCATCCAAAGTCTCTTGTGCTGATATATTGACTCTTTCTGCCAGGGAATCTGTTTATCTGGTAAAAAAATAATATCGTTGTTTTCTGTTATAAAATTCAATTTTTCATTACCACAAAATTTTCTAATGCTTGCCTATCCTGTCCATGACCAAATTTACTAGGACGGAGGTCCTTATTGGCCGGTTCCCTTGGGACGTCAAGATGGCCTAACAGCAAACGAGACTGCTGCTAATGAGCTGCCCATCACCTTTTGAGCCTTGACAAATATTACAGCGAAATTTGTATCCAAGGGTCTCGATTTGAAAGATGTAGTCGTGCTATCAGGTACAAATCCATATACATTATTGACTCTAGATACACATGGGACAAGGCTTTATTGAATCAAGTTGAGTTGGGAATAAAATTACAAAAAGAACTTCTCTAAGTAGATCTTATCGATCCATGCAGGTGCTCATACTTTTGGCTTTGCTCAATGGTTCACATTTAAACAGAGGCTTTTCGACTTTGACGGGGCTGGTAATCCTGATCCAACACTTGATGCATCAATACTCAGCACTCTACGTACTGTCTGTCCGAATCAAAACAATTCTGATACGAATTTGGCTTCCCTGGATCCTACTACGACAAACAAGTTCGACAACAACTATTTCAAGAATCTTATAAACAATTCTGGTCTCCTACAGTCGGACCAAGCCCTCATGGGTGACAATATCACTGCTTCGTTTGTCACGACCTATAGCAAATTCCCTTTCATTTTCTCCAGAGATTTTGGTATATCTATGGTGAAGATGGGTAATATTGGTGTTCTTACAGGACAGGATGGAGAGATAAGGAAAAATTGTAGAACGGTAAACTAGAAACTTGCCTACCTAAATGAATGATAATAAACTAATAATTACTTTTTAGAAGGCTTAAGTATGGATTTCAAAGCTAGGTGATTATGATTCAGTTTCTACTATTTAGCTTCTCCTGTTTTTGTGTTTTCCTGTTCTGTTTATGTACATGTACCTCTTACTTTTCCATGATTAAAACAAGGATGTTGAAATTTTCTTATAATCTTCGGTTACGATTTTCGACGTACTTTCTATTTTTCAAATGAAACTTGCAGCATTTCATTCATAATATACCAATTACAAAATATAAGCACCGAAAATTATTTATATCACACAAATTGTTTATGAATGCTTGTAATATAAAAAAGAGTGTGATCAGTGCAGTGCAAATCATTTAAAATATTTTCTAAATTTTTGAGCAAAACAACTCCTTATTCGATAGAAAATGGAACTTTTCTTTTTCTTGACTAAAAAGTTGCCGTTGTTACTTTTGAATTTCTGTTGATTCCTTGGAGTAACTTCTCTGATACTTGCATATTGCTCTTCTGTAAGACCCCCAAAACCTTCATTAGGACTTCTATTTTCTTCCATTCTTCTTTTGCTCGATCTGTGGTGGGAATATAGTTGCTGCAACCTTCTAAAGGAGTAGTCCCGGCTGTTCTCCGCCACAAGTTTTTGCTCCATGGATACCGATATACGCCTTTCTGCTAGTGAAGTTTGTTCTCTAGACCTTCTTTTTAACATGTGATATTCATCTTGAGTCAACTGGACTACAATATTAACCACACCCTCCGATTTATTACTGATGTAGCTAAGTGCATGTGCAGCTGATTTTTCAAATGCTTGTGACTCCAACTGTATTGCTTCATGAGTGAGTTGCAATGTCAAAAGACTTTGCCTCTTAAGCCTTAACACTTGTTTGAGTTTCGTTCTTTTTCGTTGCTGTTCATCAATTTTCGTTTTGAGTTTTTCCATTTCTTCCTGCGTTCTCTCCAGATCTTCACTTTTGTCGTCGATGATTTTTTTCATCTTTAATTCTTCCTCCTTTGTAGACTTTATGCACATATCCGTAGTCCCTAGTTGAGGTTGAAGCTCTGAAATGACAGCGTTTGCTTTAATAACTCGTGATTTTACGCTTGATAAATCTGCCTGCATCTTTTCAAGCTCGTCGATTAATGGCTGGGAATCTAACCATGATTGCATAGCATCATCTTTAGCCTGTTTGAGATTTTCCTTCAGCTTTTCTAGTTCTTGAATCTTGCTTGTCGACACATTGCTGCTATCCATCATATCGTCACAATCTATTAATGAACTCAATACATGCTTGGTACGCAGTACTTATCGGAACGGACAAGATTTTACTTAGTGTATTCTCTGTCCACTTTATGTTCATGATCCATTTTATAAGTATCACCTGCTTTGGCATATTCTTGATTTTCTTGTTTAGCTGAAATTAATTATTGATTCTTGTTCTTATAAAAGTTTGTCTTGATCCTTATATAAATGACTGTTAGAATTATTTAATATGTTTAGAGGTTAGGTGTTCTCAAGTTTATCGTCGAGTGTGAATCAGAATATCTCATCTATATGCCTTTCGTGCAAATTGTCCGGCAAAATTGTCCTACAGCCGTAATTATTATCTCATGGAATAATTCAAATTTTCGTTGTTCAAAAAGTAAAAGATAAAAAATTATTTTGTTTTGTTTAGTAAGGTGAATTGTGTAGTCTGAAATAATATTAGAAAAGGAAGGAAAAAAAAGTAAAAATATTGTTTACAATTTATGACAGTGTCCAACCCTGTCCAGCGATTAAGATAATAATAGTGCCACTTTCTATTCAAGTTGCCGGAGCTTTCTTTCGTCTGAAAGTGATTTTGCAAAGCGAGTAAGAGCTTCTTCATTAGTACCCTCTCCTTGAACAGGCTCTGGTCGACCGGTTTCCAAATTCACTCTTGAAACTGGCTTCTTCAACAAACTATCTCCAATTTGAATAAGTGTTCGCATATGTTTTGTGGTAGCAATGTCAAGTGATGATGCATCCCCTGATAATGTATCCTCCTGTTCATTTAAGCATAGTCATGTCTAGTACTGCATATTTAAGAGTAATTTTAAAAATGATTGGATACCTGAATACGGAGGTAATTTTTTTCATTGCGAAGGGATTGGAAAAGGGTTGAAACATGAATATCGACCATATCAGAGCTTGCATCAGCATAGATGTTGAACAGTGGTGTTGCACCATTGTTGTAAACCCAACCAAGCAAGCCCCATCTTTTGGCGTCCTCTACGCTGTACTTCTCTTCTAGTTTAGCTATACCAGTTCCTAATGAAAGAACCAGCATTCTTTTTGTGTCCATTGGTTCCATGTCCATGAGTTCAAAGTTTCCCAACAAAATTTCTTTTGAAATGTGTGTTATTGCCATTAGAGTCTGTATTTATCCATCAATATAATTCAGTTTTTTTCGACTTATCGAACAAAATAACAAGTATTGGTTCTATGAGCCACTACTCACTGGATTATTTGCAGCAACACCTCCATCGACAAGATCATGAGTTTTTATTTTTCCTTGTGCGTCGGTAGTTTCAAAATAGTGTGGAGGGAGAAAAGTTGGAGCTGCAGACGTGCCCAGACAGACATCTGATAGCTGAGCATTCTTGGAAACACTTGCTTTTGCCTGGACAAAATTTGATCAAATTAGTATTAACATTAAAATATTCAAATATAGATATGACAAAGGTAAATATGTAATT